GGATAGTTTTGTGCTGACTTTCGGTGACTTATTTCTGTAGTTTGCACACTGTGTGTGTGTGTGTGTGTGTGTGTGTGTGTGTGTGTGTGTGTGGTGAGGACATGACTGACGGTGAATTGGTTAGGTCTGGGAAGAAGGTTTTACCCTTTGTCCATGGCCTTACCACAGGGGTTGCGAAGCTGTGGGTCCAGATCGCAGAGCTGCACGGCCAAAGTTGTATCTGCCAGACATGTCTGCCGCCACGTCCCACCGCTGATTTTAAACTACATTGCGTTGTCATCTGGCCAGCCTTCTTTAGTGTCTTCTGTATGTTGAAACCTAGAGGGAACTTGGTGCCTAGCTGTTTCCTCCTCTGCCATTTGCTGATATTTTTGTACCTGGAGTTGCTGGCCTCTTTGTGGGGAGGCGTCCATTTTAACTTTTTGCATCTGTCAGTATGTTAGGTCATCTTGCTCCTTCCCACCCTGATGATCACTGAAGATCACTCTGATGTCCTTATATCCAGAGGAAATCACAGTATTGGTTTTATGTGAGAAACCTCTTGGGATTGGGATTCCAAAGGTATCTGCCTTTCAAAGGAAAGCCTTCAAAGTCTAACCAAAGAGCATTCTGGCTTCTGGTTTCTCTTGAATTGTTTTCATCTGTGATACTTAGGAAGTAATCATCTTTTCCCTAATGAAGTACGGAGACTATTAGTTCTGAATGTTGGGACTTCTGTTGGATTTTGGAAGTGAGTATTTTTGTTAGATGCCTTTTGGAGGCATGTGTCATGCTTTGGGAAGGGTTCTGCTCATGTGAAGCAGAACTTGATTTCAGAAGTTGGCCAAACCCCAAGAACGCACAGGGCCTCCTGTGGGACTTCCTTCCCTCTGGGGTGCTGTGGCGCCCCCTGCTGGGAGCGGCGAGGTGGGCTTCAAAGCTGCTGAAACCACTCAGGGGCTGCATTGCCAACCTGAGGCATCGGACAGCCACGGTGTGGGGGTTCTGCTGCTGTTCGTTATTACTGGACTGTGTGGTCAGGAAAGTGTCATTTCAGTTAGTTTATCTCCCGAGGTGTTCGTGCTTAGTGTCATTAAGTGACTTCCTTCTTAGGACAGAGCGCAGAAAAGACATTTTGTGTAGAGGGGGACCTGCGGCCAGAGGCTCGGTTGTATTTCATCCATCGTTCACTGAGGATGAGGCCCGGGGAGAAAGGCTTGGTGGGGAAGTCCTGGACAGGCCTTATCTTAGAGTCCATGGGAACACTGAACTCTGCGTTGAAACATTGCACATCTGAGTGAATGTTCCACCTGTATCTCGAGTGATCTTCGAGCACATCATTTCCATACTTTAACATGGTTAGAAGCCTAATCCAGGAATGTGTCATCAGCGGCAAATGCACGAAGCTTCAGGGTGTGCCTCAAAAACTCGCCTCTCTGCTCTGAGATGCCATTTGAATGGCGCACGCTTGACTGGAAGCACAGTGATTCCCATTCATTGAGCCATCTGACCATCCTAACGGGACACAGTTCAACCAACCTTTTAATGTGGGAACGGAGCTTTCATGAAGCGGGGCTTTGTTTCCATGTGTTTATTGTGGTGGTGTTAAAATGTCCTTAATGCTTAATGCATGTTGTCTGCATTAGAAAGATAACTGTTATGCCTTTGATACTGTTCACTGTAACAGCATTGTTACTATTTTTAAAAAACTGCACAGTTTTGCTTTACCTTTCAACAGTCTGATTAGTTTTTTGCTTTGCTGTTATTATATACAGAGTATATTCGCTTTTCTGTCTCTGCACTATCACATTTTCCACTGTCAGTACCCAGACCGGTACCACAGTAAGATAAAATTGCCCTTTCTCAAGAGATTGTCATAGTATGAAAGAAGGCAGACCATGTTTTTTTAATCTGTTGGGCAGGGGAATTAGCTCAGTTGTAGAGCACTTGCTTGACATAGGCAAGACCCCAGGTTTGATCCCTAGCACCACCAAAAAAGAAAAAGAAAAATCGGGAAATGAGGCATTTTTCAGTGACTACTATTTGGTTTGGTTTTAAAAATTGCAATCACTTTAATTATTATTCCATATAGTGCTATTACTTTATGAAAAACTTGTATACTTACTACCCAGGTATATTTGAGTCCTAATTCACCTCAGAAATAATTTTTTTCAGTGTGAACAGTTTCCAGTTTTTGGTCCCACATAGTCTTCTTAGCCTGTTCCAGGTCCCCCAACAGATGCCAGAAAGCCCAGAGATTACTGAACTCTGCACAAAGATACTGGTTTCCTCCTCTACCTACATACCTACATTCAAGTTTGATTCATACACTAGGCACAAGAAGAGATTTTTTTTTATAAAGGAAAAGAGAAGAGTATAAAAAGCTGGGCATGAGGGCGCATCCATTACAGTACTTGGCCTTGGGGTTAGGAGGACACCAAGAGTTTGAGACAACCATGAACTACATCAGGAGTTTAAGGCCAGCCTGGACTACACAGCCAGACCCTGCTCAAAACAAACAGAAAAAAGATAAACAACAAAAAAGTCTTTCAGCTACAATTGATCACAGAAAACTGAAAGTGGAGCCAGTAACCATAGAGGACTAGAGTTTATGCGTCCTGCTTTTTTCATGGAAAATACATAATAGAAACAAAGTTGTTTGGAGCCAGATGCACACAGAGAGGCTGGCACAGGAGCCCAAAGACATGGGGCACAGGGAGGCCAGCACGGCAGCCTGACCCTTCCCGAGGGCCGCGCTCCTTCACAAGGCCCGTCTCTGTGTGCTTTTCAGGTTTCTGTGTCAGATCTCTGGTTTCAGGTAGTTGCTCAGATTTTAAAGGAAAAACGGAACGCTCGGTGTGGAGTGCATTCCTGTCGTGCAGAGCTCCTGGTTTCCGTCTCCAACACGGAGAACCTCGCAAGGCCAAGGCTGGGGAAGGGGAAGCGCAGTTCCACAGGCTGCGTGGAGCCCGGGGGAGGCTGGGCCCTGCTTCCCAGGGCCAGGTGGCACTGGGCGCAGAGACACAGAAGGCCACCTCCCTTGCTTTGTGCAGATTTGCAGCTCCAACACACTGTTGACATTAGTCCGTTAGGTACCTAGGTGAGACCATTTTCATTAAGAAAACAGGGCAGTCAGTGCCTTTCCGAGGGAGAAGCCCTGTGCTCCGATACGGAGCAGGCCCAGGCCGTCTGAGGGTGCTGTGGGGACCCCCAAGTTGAAAGGGGATAAAAATTTCAGGCGTGACCTTAGGACACTTTGGGGCCTAGAAACTGCTTTTTCTCTTCTTCCCTCACATAGGCCCCACTTTAGAGTTCAGGCTGGCTTTGAACTCTTGCTTCCGCATCTTAAATGCTGAGATCACAGGTGTGCGCCACCACGCCCCACTTTAATTCCTCTTTTTCTTGAGATCTGCTGTGCCCCGGAAGGAGCCCTCCCAAAGAGTCTCGGCCAGCCGGACCTGCTGAAGCCATTCTCCACAGAACAGAGGGCGCAGCGCTGTGGGCTTGTGCTGGTTGAAAGGGAGTCGTCACCCGACTCCCGTAGGCCCTGAGCGCTGCTGTCAGTGATCTCACTGGGAAAGTTAGCGACTTTGGTTTGGAGAGAGGTTTAAATTTTTGGTTGTTTTTGGTCGTTTTCTGTTTGGGGCTTTTTTGTGTTTCCTGTGGTACTAGGAATTGAACCGAGGACCTTGCTTATGCTGGGCAAGTGCTATGCCACAGAGCTACATCCCTAAGCCTTGCATTGATGATTTTCACATTTCCATTTGGGGGGTGGGGGGCACCTTGCGTTTGCAAGGCAGGCGGCAGTGCCACTGAGCTAAATCCCCAGCCTTTAGTAAATTTTTATTTGAACTAGAGTAACTACCCAAGTTCCCCATAATTTGAGTTCCAGTGTAGGACTTCATTTCATGTCGGAGTTTTTTTGTTGTCATTGCTTTTTGTTTTGTTTTGTTTTGTTTTGTTTTTGAGGCAGAGTCTCGCTATGTAGTTCAGGCTGGTCTTGAACTGTGTAGCCCAGGCTGGCCTCAAACTCTCTGTAGTCCTCCTGTCTCAGCTTCCCAAGTGCTGGGATTATAGGCATGCGCCACCACGCCCGGCTGTCAGTTTTATTTTTAGAAATTTATATGTGCATAGTTTATATTACCGGTGCTGTTTATGTGATTTATAATATTATGAGGCTCATATCCTTGTTTCTTCAGGGAGTCTTTACTATCTGGGCTGGGGTGTATTTCAGTGATCTAGGGTATTTTCCTACCATGTGTGAGATCCTGGGTTCACTCCCTACCTGTGCAAAATAAATGAAGGTGTCCTTTGGGAATAAAATTATATTAAAGTCATGTTCACTATGTTGCTACTTACTAAGCACCGTACTTAGGAATATGTCATTCTTTCTGTAGATGCTGACATAAAAGTGAATACTTAATCATAAGAAAAATTGGGCCAGGGGTTTAGCTCAGTGGTTCCACCACCTGCCTCGCAAGCACAAGGTCCCGAGTTCAATCCCCTCTACCCAAAAAATAAAGAAAAAATAATTATTATTTTTTAATTATTATTATAATTATTATACTAGGTAATTATTATAGTCGAATTAGCACCATTGCAAGAAGACTGTTGAAGATGTCCACTGTGCAGGGTCCAGTATGCCGTGTTTTTCCTTTGCAGAGCATTCCTTCATGATCACTGTATTTGAAAATTAAAGTGAGGACTGGAGTTACAGCAGAGCACTTGCCCAGCTTGCATGAGTCCCTGGGTTCAGTCTTCAGCACCACAAAAAGGAAAAATTGAATGTTTTTACTTCTGAATTATTTTTGTTCTGTTTTCTGCAGTACTGGGGATCAGTCAGACTCCAGGCCTCATGCATTCGCAGTAGCTACCCCTGAGCTACTCCCAGCTCCCAGGGTTAATTTTAAGTTAGGACACGAAGAGGTCTTACTGACTGTGAGGCCGCATGGGTGTCCGGAGGCTTGGTAACCGCGGTGCATCTCTCTCTTTCTCTCTCTCTTTCTCTCTCTCTCTCACAGTGACCACGTTGCAGCTGAAGGAGGAGTTGCTGGATGGGGAGGATTATAACTTCCTCCAGGGAGCGTCTGATCAGGAAAGCAATGGTTCTGCCAACTTCTACATCAAACAAGAGCCCTGAGCCGGCTCAGAAACTGAGGGCGGGAGGGGAAGAATTTTACACAGAACTGATTTATAATCGATCCAGCTGTACAGCGGGCTATTCTACTGGGACATTTTGCTAAACAGAAAATTTCAGTTCCAGATTTTTCAGGTGGGTGGGGAAACTATTTTAGTCAGGGGGGTAGGGGAAATTTTTCAATTTATAAAGATGGACAATTTTTGTGTTGTATTTGAAGCTTTTGAAAGAATTTTGTAATATTTTCCAAGTTTGGATTTATGTGCATTGTTAACAAGAACTGAAATTCTAAATTTTTTGGTAAGATTAAAGTTTAGGTAGCAGGATTGAAGGAAATGATTTAAGAAGGATATAATTGTAAGTGCAAATGAACTGTCATACAAATGAACCTTTTTGGTACCTGTTGGGAGACTTTTGGATTTTAGAAGTTAGGCCAGTCACATCTCCGGCTTCCTCTGCTGCAGAAATATGCAACTGAGGCCCTCGCAGAGGGCCCAGCTCCACACAGACCGCGGAAGGGCGTCTGCTCTGCTCGCTGGCATTTTATTGCAGCCCATTTTAAATGTTTGTACAGAAATGTTTTTCATTCTGTGAAAATTTATTTGGAGTTCTGTATGAAACTGGAAGAACTCTGGATACTTCTATATGTTCTCTTTTCAGTCAAAAATGATCCTAACACTAAAGTGTTAAACTGGAATGGTTGGCAAGATATACAAGGATCTCAATCTCCACGTTGCGGGGTTGGGAAAATGCAATATTGTCCTGAGTTTATTTTATTTTTCTTGCTAAAATAAAATAGCCCCCGGAAGGGATTCTGATCAGTTCTCTGCCATTTCCCCCATCCCATGAGATAGAAACTGGGTACAACCACACCCCAAAACAGATGTCACCAAGAGAATCAAAGTCAGTTACTCAAAGCCAAAAAACTCCAGATTTCAAAATCATTCCAGCTCCACTTCTAGCTGTCCTGAATTTGTTAGAAAACCAAATTGAAAGAGGACTTAATTTCCTTAAAATTCCACATACAGAGTATGAGTTGTCTTTAATTGTCACCAGAATTTCTTTTAACAGTAACAATTGATTTGGACCATTACAAACATTCCCTGTTTTAAAATTCACATGGCTTCCTTCAAAAATAGGATCCAAGGGTAAATTGGTGAAAGGTTTGCTCTCGGTGTCTTCTAGTCGTCTACCGCGCAGTGACGGAGAGAGCTCTAGCGTTTACCAGTGAGGTTCATAACTAAACTCTCAGGAATTCCCTCATCTGTTGTAGAAGTGCTTCTGGGTCTTAGCCTGGCCTCCTCAGAGTGCTATCTGTGGCCATCCCTTCTGGAATATAGGCAGGACAGACTAGGAATTAATCAAAATGATTAACCTCTACAGTCCTGCAGCCTATGGAATGCTTTAAACACTAGAAAAGCCCCAGGAGAACATTTTAGGTAAGATTTTTGTTTGAATTTTCAAATGCATAGAACGTTAAAAACCAGCAATTTATTTTCTAAAATACTGCTCTACTTTTGGGAATAATAGCATTGGTAATACGCACAGGTTTACCTCATTCTATGCAAGAGGGGTTAATAACATAAGGTTTTGTAGTAGCTACTGGAAGTAAATCGTGTTGCTTTATAGTGTAACTATGTATGGAATCGCATGTCACCATTTCTGAACACTGACTCTCCGAGGGCGGAACCGCAGATCCCATCAACGCAAGTTGATCCTCATGTGTCAAATGTATGTGACTTCAGCTGTAAAATTACTGGATATTTATCTTAACATTGCTGAGAGGGACCTACTGTAAATGTGACGTCCTCGCGCTTCCCAGACCCTAAGGCCGAGAAGGTTCCGGGCCCAGGTGGAGGGCAGCGGTCTTTATTCTCAGGCTCCAGCTCCGCAGATCACACCGAGCACCCCGCTCCTGCACCGTGGGGATCGGGGCTCTCAGGGGAACCCCATAAACCAGGAGGACTGGGATTTGGAGCCAGCCACCCTGGTAATTAGCTCTGTGAAATGCTCATTTGTAGCTGTGTTTCGTAAGCTTCCAATTCGACAGCAAAGCCAGGCTCCGACCCGCCGGCTCCTCCGGCTCCTGCGCCCGGGACCCTAACGGAAGTGAGGGCGGCGCTGCCCAGGGCTCTGTCTTAGCCATAACTTCGACCTACAGCTCAGTAGCCCCTTCCCCTCTTACGGTTTCAAAACGTAAAGTACTGCTGACCTTGGGTTTGTTTTCTGTTACTTGTTTTCCTGTTAGGATTACTTGGGGACTTTGATAGTTTAAACTTTAACCTTTTCCTTGCTGTGTATGAGGATAAAGCTAAAGCTGTTATCAACTTCTTATTCTACGGATACTAACACGGGTTTTCAGTGTTTTGTTTTATTATTAATTTTGCGTGATGTGAATACCCTTTCCCGTCAATATTTGTATTATGGTGCTATATATTTGGTAATGATCCTTTAATATTGGGAAGGGATTTTAAAAATACTGTGATTAAACTGGGTTTCTTCCTTTGATTTTCATATTTTAAATAAAGCCACAGTCATTTATACAAAGGATAAGCGTCTGTCCCGAGGCAAATCTTTTGAGGACAGAAGTCAAAGCAAACTGCATAAGATTTTTACATCATTTCTGTATGTATTTGGTATATAGATCAATATCTGTACAAATTTAATCTTTTATTTTCTGGTAACGTGATCATTGAGAGAGTGTTTGAAACTTTCTCATGAAGTGTATATAATGGCGTGAAAACTTCCTTCAGAGAAATTTATGTTCCTTTCATTTTTACCAAACTGCAAATTTTCAGCATGGATGTGAAAAGCATTAAAATTATAACTTTGTGTACAAGATGAAATACTTCACTAAATTTGCCCTTTTTTACACAAAATAAAATGAAAGTTAAGCTGTATGTGAGCAGTTTTCTGATGTTGGGCCGGAGGGTTTGGTGTGTGAGGAGGGCGCAGCCCCTGCTGACAGGACAACTGGTGAATGTATATTGTCGCATAATGCCTCACAGTGTGTGTGCACGAAAACAACCTGGCCAGGCCGGTGGCACACACCTATGGTTCTGATACTCTGGAGGCTGAGGCAGGAGGGTCACGAAGAGTTTGACCAGCCTGGGCTACATAGTTTAAGGCCAACCTGAACTACAGATCAAGACCCTGTCACAAAAAACCACCCCCGCTTCTGTCTCTTAGAGGCTTTCTTCCTCTCAATTTTTTTTTTTTGTTTTTTTGTTTTGCCAGGGATCAAACTCGGGACCTTGCACTTGCAAGGCAGGCCGCGGACAAATGCTTTTTTACGACTGTGCCAATAAAACAAAAAACTTCAAAAACTGGAAAAAAAAATTTTATTTTTTTTTTTTGTACTAGTGATTGAACCCAGGGCCTTCGTTTGAACTGAGCCACCATCCCCAGGCTTTTGGCTTGCTACATTGCCCAGGCTGGGCAATTTGGGATTCTCCTGCCTCAGCCTCCCAGAGGAATTACAGAAACACTGCCACACCCTACTTAGGATGTGAATCATCTGCCTCTCACCTCTTCAAGCTCAGGCAGCTAGCTTATTAAGTAATCACCCCAGGATCTGAGCAGGGTGTAGGGTTGCAGAAACACTTTTGGCCCAACCTGGTCCAGGGAAGCAGGTCAGCTGCTTTCATCTCGAGTCACAGGTGGCTTCTGCCCAGGCTGCAGGTGTCCCCTGAGTTGGCACAGGTGCCAATCTGGACGGGCCTCCCCCACGTTTCCAGACTCTCCTCAGAAGGAAACGGTAGTCACTGTGCTCTTCCCTCCGCCGGCCAGGGCCATGTTCTCGAGCAGCCAGGCTGTGAGGGGCAAGCGGCCAGGGGCACCCACAGCTCGGCATGGAGGACGCGCAGGACACTAGGCCGGTCTCAAGACTTTATTGGGAAAGGGGCTTCAGAAAAGAAGGGTCTCTCCGCCCTCCTGTCAGCTCAGGGGAACTCAGGCTGGGCAGGCGGTGCCTCCCCACCGTTACTCATAGATCCAGCTGTGAGCACAAGACTTGTAGTCAACCAGCTCTTCCGGCTTAAACCACAGGCTGATCTCCTTCTCGGCACTTTTCACTGAATCACTGCCATGAATGATGTTCCTAAGAAAGAGAACAGTTACTGGTTACTGTGGGGTTTTTTTTGTTTTTTTGAGACAGGATCTCACTATGTAGTTGAGACTGACCTGGAACTCACTGTAGCCCAGGCTGGTCTCGAATTCACAGCGATCCTCCTGCCTCAGCCTCCTGAGTGCTGGGATTACAGGCATGCGCTGCCACGCCCAGCTTGGTTACTGTGTTTTACAGCGCAAAAGTCACTGCACAGGCTGAGATGGAAAGATCCAAATTCAAGGCTGGCCTGGACTACGTAGTGATCCTGTCTCTAGGGCCAGGGATTTAGCTCAGTGGTTCCGCTGCCTGCCTTGCAAGCGCAAAGACCTGAGTTCGATTTCCGGTACAAACAAAACAAAACAAAACAAAAAAACATAGAGATCCTGTCTCCAAAACAGAAAACATGTATTTCATGGGCACAACACAGAACAGCCACTCCACATGCTTCCAGCTAAATTACCACCTGAAGCAGCAGACTAATTACATACCCCAAAGTTTGTTTAGCTTTTTGGTTTTTTTTAAAATGGGTCTCATATGATTCAGGCTGGTCTTGAACTCATTATGTATTCCCTCCTGGCCTCGAACTCTACTCGATCCTCCTGCCTCAGCCTCCCAAGTGCCAGGATTACAGGTGTGTGTCTGTAATTATTTTAAAATAAAACAATGCTGGGCATATTGGCACATTCCTATCATCCTAGCATTAGGGAGGCTGAGGCAGGAGGATCACTGTGAGTTCAAGACCAACCTGGGCTACACAGTTCCAAGGCAGTCTCAACTACAGAGACCCTGTCTCAAAAATAAAACCAATTCTAACACTATATGCTAGGCCTCATGGTGTACAAGTGTAGTTCCAGCTACTTTGTAGTCCAAGCTATTCTGGAGGCTGAGTCAGGATGACTGCTGGCCCCTAGGAGCTTGATATCAGTCAAAAAAAATACCCAAACAAACAAGCAAAAAAAAAAACATGGTTAAAAAGATCCCCTGAGCCCAGGGATTTAGCTCAGTGGTTCCACCGCCTGCCTAGTAAGCACAAGGACCTGAGTTCAATCCCTAGTACCAAGATAAATAAGTGAGATCCCCTAAGGCTGGAGATGCAGCTCAATGGCAGAACTTTTCCCAGGCCCTGAATTCAATCCCAACACCCAAGAAAAAAACAGAAGGAGAAAAGTTCCCTTGGTTCAACTGTATTATGCTTCTAAGTCCCCCTGCCAAAACATGCTTATATCCCAAGGTTTCCAAATGTCAAATTTCAAAAAATGAGCAGAGTAAGCAAATCCCTAACAAGCATTGCTATTGCATTTCTTGTAACACTGATTTGTAGAACTCTGCGACATACATATGTACTTTTTTTTTTTTTTTTTTTTTTTTTTTTGAGGCAAGACCTCAAGTTTCCCAGGCTAGTCTTGAACTTGGAATGCTCCTGCGTCAGCCTCCCAAGTAGCTGGGAATACAGGTGTGTGCTGCCATGCCAGGCTTCAAATTTTAAGTAACCTAGGGAAGTAGCTATTAGGATAGCATACTTTTTTAAAAAGTCAGATTTTTCTAAAACCATGATATACCCCCAAATGTTTGCTTTCTGCTCCATTTAACTAGAGCTACAAAGTCTAAGGGCTGGGGATTTAGCTCAGTGGTTCTGCCACCTGCCTCGCAAGGGCAAGGTCCTGAGTTTGATCCCCAGTACCAAAAACAAACAAACAAACCAAAGTCTTGTCGCCGGACTCACCTGCCAACTTGGATGCAGAAGTCCCCGCGGATGGTGCCCGGCTTGGAGTCGGCGGGGTTGGTCTCTCCGAGCATCACGCGGCCCGTCTTCACCACGTTCAGCCCCTCCCAGACCTGGCCAGCAGGGGACAGGAAGCGCTACAGATGTCTGGCTCAGATGATTAGGGACGACACAGACCCCACCAACAGCACCCATCACTCAGGTGACCCCAGCAGAAAGAAGGGGCCCACAAGAAAAATTTCATTCCTGGCACAGAGGGGCACGTCTGTGATCCCAGCACTCAGGAGGCTGATGCAGGACGACTTCCATGAGTTCCAGGCCAGCCTGGGCTACACAGTTCAGGACCCGCCTGAAATCCGTGAGGCCCTGGTCTGCAAAGATGAATCCATTCCAAATGCAGGATTCAGAAAAGCCTAACCACCATCCAAAGATGCAGGACTACAGTACTTTGGCTTCATATATTAGACTAAAAGAATTCTGTTTTTTATTTGGGTTTTTTGAGGCAGGCTGGCCTTGAACGCACTGTGTATCTCAGGCTGGCCTCTGCCTCCCGAGTGCTGGCTGGGACTACAGACACGTGCCACCCCCCTGGCACACTTAAGCCAATTTTTTTTTCCCCTTGATACTGGGGATCGAACTCAGGACCTTGTGCTTTCGAGGCAGGCGGCGGCACCGCTGAGCTACATCCCCGGCCCATTAAACCAATTTCTACTGCGAAAATTTTATAAAGTGTTTCTCTCAGTCTAGGAAAATGAGATCAAAGCGTCTGTTGAACAGAATAAATTTAGCCTTTCTTGTAGGTGGCAAGGTCTACCTTAACAAGTCCTTGTTTTCTGAGCTCTGATTCCCTCTCCCTTCCCCAGCCCCAGGCTCCTAGTTAACTGAATAATTAACTCTCGGTAAGTCCCATTTGTAAAACTGAGCAGCTGGCTTTGGAAAAGGTGGAAGGTGGTCAGGTCACCTGCGGGGCCGGGCCGTTTCCGGGGACCCCCCCCCCACGGCG